AAGGGACAAAGCCCATACGTTTCGGTTGGGCTTAATTGCTAAAAAGGATGGACTGGCCCGCTCTTTTTCCTTTGGATTTCGGTTGGGCTAAGATGCTTTTTGGCCCAAAGAAGAAGTAAATGGCCCAGTTACCCATTTTTCTTAAGAAATCAAGTAACAAGAATTGCAAATCAGTCCTCGGCCTTTTAAGTAATTTTTCTGTTACCCTAAAAACTTTGATTTTATTTCAATTAGGTCCCTAATTTAATTATAATTTGATCCCTAAATTTTATTTTTCTTTGATTTAATAATTATAATTTGACCCCAAAACTTTCTTAATTTTTGTAATTAAGTCCCTGATGGCTTTTGATTTCCTAAGTATAAGTTGTTTATCTTCTTTAATTGTTAATTATACTTCATTTAAATGATTTACTTGGCAGGTTTCATGGTTATTTTCATTTCTTTTTAATAATAAAGTGAATTTGCCATATGTTTATATTTTATTTTCTTTATTGATTAATTAAATTGGTGTCTTGATCATTTTGTTGATTTTGGAGTATAAATCGGACAAATCCAACCTCATTTAACTACTACTTCAATGGAGGTATTTTCTTTTATTATTTTAAATTCTCTTATGTGTTCCTATGTGTTTTATATGTAATTGCATGATTTGAATGTTTTTTCTTTTATTTACTCATTTCATTCCTTTTAATTTTCATTTATTATATTTAATTTTTGATGATTATTTGGAGGGCATTTAAATGTCAAGTTGTAATAAATAGATGCTCAAGACATGTATTTAACTAGCCTATGTAATAGATAGGTTTTAATTTTAGCAAAAATGTAATTAGTTAGATAAATGTAATAGTTAGGTTATTATTTTTAATTCCCTCCTTAAATTGTAGTTAGGGTCTCAAATATAATAGCTAGGTCGTTATGTGCGTTTCTTTGCCTGTGTGCTTGTGTGCTTATGTGCTTATGTATTTATTCGCTTTCTTTAGAGTCTTTGCATCTAGATATTATATTTATGTACTATATGCTCTATGTGCTTTATGCGTTTACTTGTTTTAATTATGTTTTATGTGATTTATTTAGTTATAATAAATGCATGATGTCACCACACTAATCCAGTGCTAGTTGTGACATTTCTCCCTGATTTCTCGTTAATTCAACGCTAGTGAGAGTTTATAGAAATGGACTAATCCAATGTTAGATTCTTTAGGCCGTTTTCGTGCTAGATTCACATTCTTTATATGACATTCATTACATTTCATACATGTTTTTCATTTTTAGGATCTTTTCTCATATTGAATGATATTTTCTCTATATATTATCTCCCTTATCCCTATGTATGCGAAACATGACATTTAGACTTGCATTCCATTTAGGAAAATAGAAATATTTTAGTCCATTGCTTGATTAGGTTAAGAAAGCCACCCTTCAAATATGGGATATGAATGAATATGGTTTATTAGTTTTAGCATGCTATCATCCCCCTCTATAAAAAGAAAAATTAAGTCACAAATCTTAGTCCTCCGTACCCGTTATGTTGCATTCCTTTCTTTTAGGTCATGCATACTTATCTATTATAATTTTCTTTTCTTTGAACCTAATCTTTTGCATATTCGTGACCTCTTCTAAGAATCATTTTTGGGCATCACAATTAGTGTGATTTACACCAATTAAATTTTGAAGAGACATTCCAACCCTCCCGATACCCCCTAGTTCTAGATTCGCATCCATATAGAAGTATCCTAATGTGATAAATTTTATAAGTTAGTGTCGCGCCCCACTTTTTGGAAAAAATAAAGTTTGGTTTTTGTGAATTTATTGATTTTGAAAAAATGAATTTTTTGATTTGAAAAAGAAAATAAAATAAAAAAAACATGGGTCTAATGGGACTTTGAAAATGCGACGATTTGACCCAAGAAAAATAGTTCAAAAAGGGTTTTTGAATGAAAAACGGAGTCGCCACTTGGTATAGAGTTAGGGTGTACCAAGTCACCCAAAAAAATAGGAAAAAATAGTAAGAAACCCTTTTTAAACGACTCCTAGTCCACGTAAACCAACGAAAAAGGTTCGAGAGTCACATTTGACGAAAGGGAAGGCAAGGATAAAAATCCAAGGCACCCCTTCGACCTAACCAAGGCTAGTTGCGTGATTTAAACATTATTTTCCTAATTTTTCTACCCAAGGTATGTATTGTAAGTTGGATATGACTAATGGATGAGAAATGCAATCCTAAATCTAAGAAATGTATCTTATGAGGCTTTTGGTCCCATTCCCATGAATTGGGACGGCCAATAAGGAAAGCCCTCATAGAAAATCATAAATGATGCAAATGAAGACTCAATGTATGCGTGTAACTGTGCAAAGTGTAGAAAAAGTGTATGTGTACAATTTGAAAAAAGTGTTTGTGTGCAAGGGGATAAAAATATACGAGTGTTTGTGTGCAAGTGAATGAAAATAGTAAATATATATGTGCAAATGGATGCAAAAAATAAAGAAGGAAAAGAAGTGTGTGAATATGACATGTGGATTAAGAAAAAAATATAATTAGTGAGAAAAATATAGAAATAATGAGAAAATGATATGAAAGTGCATGAACCTAAAGGAATGCATCAGGTCGGGTACGGGAATGACCTCTAATTTTATGATTTCGATTTTCCCTTTGATTAGAAGGAAAAACTAGCGTGCTAAGGCTATTTTGAAGCCACACTCGCTCGTTTCCCTTACCAAAAGGGGACCCTCAAGCAAATGAACCCTATAACTAGCATGAAATGCAAAAAATCCTAAAATGAAAGGGGATTGGGTTAGAGGAGCATGCCAAATGATAAAACTAAGAAAAATGCATGAAATGTAGTGAACATGCGAAAGAATGCACTAACGAAAAAGGGATAGCCTATTGGGTCTAGCGTTGGACTAGCCCTTTCTATGAATTCCTACTAGCGTTGGACTAGTGGAAATGGGCAATGAACCACAACTAGCGTTGGACTAGTGTGGTGACGAGAAAGGGAGTCACAACTAGCGTTGGACTAGTGTGGTGACGTGCATTCGTCCATCATATCATTCATAATCCTAGAAAGCAAATAGACATGTTAATCACCTATAAACACGTAGCACATAACACTTAGCATGCTCGACTAGATGCAATAACCTAATAAAGCGATAACACATAGCACATAGCCAAATAATGAAGCTAAGGAGCCTATTACATTTGCTAACTAAAACAAAAGGGGAAAGGGAAAATGGACAAAAAATGCTCGCCAAGCCCTATCTATTACAAGCCAAGAGGTGTACACATACCCCATAAAAGGATAATTTAAATAAAGGCAAGAGTAAATGAACTAAATAAAAGGAATTAAAGAAAGTTAAAGAAAATCAAGTAAACATGCAACACTTAGCACGTTGAATCATATAGGGAGAAACAAAAAAGATAAAAGAAATTATACCTCCCCCTTAATGGCAAGCAAATGAAGGAAAAATAGCTTCAAAACAATAAAGGGGTCAAGGCACCAATTTAATAATGAAGTGCAAGGAAAATCACCAAAATTCCCCTAATTACAATTTGAATGAACTCAAAAAAGTGCTTAGAGACCAAGAAAACGGAATAACCCGTTCAAATTCCAAGTATAGCATCTATTAAAGACCCAAAACAAGCATTACTCAAACATTCAAGTCCAAATAAATCGTTTAAGCACTTCAAAGATCCCAAAAATAAAGAAAGAGCCAAACAATGATTGAAGTTGCAATAATTTTAGGACTTAATTACAAGATACTAGAACATGCTTGGGCTTTTGTGGAACAAAGAGAAACTTAGAGGGGTCCAATTGATTAAATGTTCCAATTATTTGGGCCATAGTAGAATAAAGGGGGACTTGAGGGGTTAGAATGAAAATTCCAAAAAAACTCCATGCATGCATACGTAAGAAACACAATTTTCTGATTTCCTTTCCTCTGCAGCATGTCCAACCGAAAAGGACATCAACAAGAATCATCTCTTGAATCAAACAAACCCCAAGACACAACTCCCAAACACCAGCCCACTTGGATTCCCCACTCTTATTACAAGATTAAGGGAGAGAGAGAAAAAAAACGGACTGAAAACTGACTATGATGCAAGAGATAGCAGCAAAAATGCAGCAACAGCCAAACAAAAGTGCAGCCAACATTTCCTTATTCTCTGGGACTTTACAACCTCATTAGCTAATCAGGGAGCTCACATTAGATTCCAAAACCATCATGAAACGTTAGCTTAGACATGCAAATCAAGGGGAGATGAGAAAACTGGCAAGTTTGGAATCATTCCTATGTTCTTTTGCTGCAATTTTTATTCAACAGCTCTTGCAACTCCATGAAACTTTCGGCCAGCAAGATAAGAATGTGTGAAACAGAGAAAGGCACAAACAATAGGAAAGAAAACATTTTAACCTTTTGCAAAGAAACACTTCTGCCCTTACCCACTACCCAACAAACACAACCCAGAAACAGCGAACAAACTCCAGCAATTAAACAACTCAAAGGCTGCTGCAACCAACCGAGAGTCAAAGAAACAGGAGCCATTGCAGCAGATTTTCGTATACTGACCTCACTCTAAAGAAAAACTAAACCATTGTAAGGAGTTAGAGTGCGACCTCTGCTACCTCAATATTCAGTGGTTGTACCCAGCAAGTGTTAATTGCGACTTATACAAGCAAACAGTCCCAAAATATCAGATTAAACACACAAACAAACGGAAAAGTCTGTAAGGTAGGAAGCTTGGCCTGACTTATTCATGGCGTTCTTACAAGTTTTTGAGTTTCTATCTAGCCCGCAGTATACCAGATCTAACAAACGACTTGGAACAGAAAACTTCCATAACAGTATTAACCACCAAATTCTACAACGAAAGACCAAACCCACTGGGCTACTATGGGGAACAAAACAGCAAAGTGTGTTCATAAACCAACGCAGCAAGAATCCTTGGCAGATTCAATGAAGATCTGAAGCTGTGTGAGAAGCAAAAGGCGAAAAGAAATTACCTTTGGCGTCTTTCGGAGTCTACTGAATAAGGAATGGCTGACAAGATTGCATCTGGATGAAGGCGGAGCTCCAACCCTGGTTCATCATCTGGGCAAACTTCTGCCATGTTTTTCCCTTGCTCGGTGAAGATCTATCGGTGGCAGTGGAAGGCTGAAGTGGTGGCTGCAGTGAAGGCTGATGGTTCCAACGGCCCTTTTGCTCCTTGGGGAAGTAACACCAGACCTCCTTTCCTCCTTGCTCAGAAACTTTCTTCCAGCCGCCACTCCAATTCTCTCGGCCTCCCTTCCTTTTTCTTTTCCCCGTCGTTTTTCTGTTCTAACCGTCACTTTCTATCTCTCTTACTCTCCTCTATCTTGCTTCCCCTCTCGCACTCTCCCTCCTAGTTTTTCTTTTGCCGTCCCCCAGAACCTTTCTCAGTTTCTTGCTCTCGGTTTTTGCTTCTCAAGCTCAGCCCTCATCTAACCTCTCTGATTTCTTTTTTTTTAGCCGTCCGCTTGCTCTCTTCGTTCCCCCCCATTGCGGCTACCCCTTCTTTTCTTTTTATCCGGAACTTCAAACCTAAACTCTCTCAGCCATCTCTCCTAAATTGCAGCTAAGGAGCTCCCCTGAGTCCTTCCTTGCAAGCTGCGACCAAAACGCAGCTTGCAAGTCGCGTATGCTATATTTATTTATTTTTATTTTTATTTTTTTAAATAAATTAATAATGAAAAATGAAAAAGATAAAAACAACAAATTAATTAACATTGGCTAGCAATAAATAAACTAAAACAATAAACGACAAAGAAATGCAATTTTCATTTTCCTTTTTCTTTATTTTTCTCATTTTCTCTTTTTTTCCTTTTTTCAAGAAAACATTGAACTTAAAATCAAAACAAACAATTAAAGCATATTTTTTTAGTGCCTTTTCCATTTTCCAAATTTTATGTTAAAATTCTAAAAAAAAAACGAAATAAAGCTAAAAATGAAATAAAAATGCTATAAAAAATACTTGAAAAATATCCAAATGAAAATTATGGAATAAATAGATATAACTATCAATAAAATAAAAATGGCTCAAAATTTTGGTGTCTACAGTTAGATTAAGAAAATTTTTGACTAAATCTCGCAACTAGCCTTGACTGGGTTAAAATGGTGCCTTAAGTTTAACCCTATCAAATCTTTGTCTTTCCTTTCTTCAACCGCGACTCTCGAACCCTCTTATCTTGTTTTCAAAGATTCAGAGTCGTCTAAAAGGGGTTTTATTTTTTGTTTATTCATTTATTTATTTAAAAATACTTTTGTTTATTTGCGATAATAAAGTTTTCATTTAAACAATGATTGTTTTGTATATATTCATGTACATTTCATTCTTTATTTACTCATTGGGAGATTTCATGACGGACTTTAAAAAAAAAGACTAAATTGAGATTTTCAACCTCTTGCATGAAAATTCACAAGTGTGTGTTTAATTTTCTAAAATCCTTGCATGCACTAGATTTATGGTCCAAACTATTTAATGAGGGAGCTCGAAATCAAAAGAGGTCACTCAAACTGGTTAATTTGTTTCAAAAGAGCAACTACGATACTTTTTTCCTTTCATGTTTACTATTTATATTTTGTCCACTTCTATCAACCCTTCAAAAATCAATCACATTAGTTGATAAGCCTCAAAGTAGGGCAATCTTTACTTTGAAAATGCCTACTATGTCTAACCAGTTCAATCCATATTTAAATGAAAGCAAAAATGTACATTACTCTTGTTTGTTTTGAGAATTTGGAATAATACTTTACGCGTTCGTTTTTCTATCCATACAGATTTTATCATTTGAGCTTTTGAAGGTACAATTTCGTTTCAAATAAGAGCCTTAGTGATCATAACCCTATATTAAGAAAATTTTTAAATGTCAAATGGGAATGGATTTTCCCAATGGGCTATTTTTTATTTTGATTGTCATGTAACGTAAGAATGATACTTTGGCCATCGTTTCTACTATCTAAACATTGATTATCTTTTGCATCCACATTTTGATCTTAAATTGGTAGTTTGTTTCAAAAGTACTTATCATCACACCCCACATTGGAGAAGGAGATTTGAAAATTTTTAAAAATAACAAAGATGCTAATTTTTTTTAAAGAGACATGACGTATGAAAAAAAAGAGAGAAAAAAGGGGTATTTATATTTAAAAATTAACGGGTTTTTGATTCTACCATTTATATTTCGAATTTCGGTATTAAAACAACAAAGGGGGAACAAAAAAAAGAGAGAAATAAAAGGAATATGTGAAAAAAAAGGAAAAAAAAAGAGAGAGAAAGAAGAAAATGAAAAAGAAAAATACAAAGACATCCAATGCTGAAATCCCTCTAGTGGTTGATGATAAAAGTCAAAATGAAATCCAATTTCTTTGAATCCAAGTCTGGGGCAATTTTGGGAAGGAATGCGATTTTAAGTACAATGTTCTTGAAAATCTTGTTTCTTTTATCTATCGTTGTCAAAACCACATTACAACCTCGTAAAGTCCATTGCTGACTTATCTTTCATGATAACATGAAATAAGGATCAGGCCTCTAAGGGATCTACCAATCACTTGTGATCAAAGGGTCATAACCTATTTTATATGTTTAGCTATCTCTTACCCATATATTACAAACCTATAGAGCATATTTGTTGACTAAGTTTTTCCAAGAAATAAGGGCGATAAACTATTTGTTTTCACCAAGATGTGATATTGAATGTGTTAGACACAATTTGGGTACAAAAGTAAGATACATCCTGACGTACAATTTTCCTTAGCCACCTTAAAATCAAGAATAATACCCATTTGATTGGTCCTAAAGAATGAGTTAATGAGAAAAGTGATCATTTCCCCTAAATACCGATCCTAAAGTGAGGAAAAGTGTGACAGCCTCACCTCTCCCTAAGGCAAACCAAAGGGTTCGGCGGACCGCCTGCCCAATTCTCGTCGAGATTCAGTCATACCTCAATCAAAACCGGAATAAAACCCCAAGAATAAGTATAATAACAATCCAAAACTTAAAGCAGAACTTATATACATTTCTATCTCCAAAAGGGAGTACAAACTCAAATATACAAAGGTTCTCAATTCTTCATATATCCACCCCGCCAAGTGCTAGGGCGAAAACCATTACAAAAAAATCAAAAGAACTAGACTGGCTAGTCTATACCGAACTCTCGTCCTTACTCGCCTTCCCCTGTTAAGGAAAACAAAACTAAAAGGATGAGCTAAAAGTTCAGTGAGGTTCCGAACACATAATCAAACAATCAATCCAATACACTAAACATAGAGTATCAATAATTCAAGTAATATTTACAATGGAAAGCGATAATAACACATTCATTAAAAGGATACGGGCTCAAAGGGAGTCATTTATTCGTTCGTTCATTCGTTCTCCTGTCATTCCCCTTATCCCTCCAATCATTTGAAAATGCATTTTTTTGTAAGTAAAACCCCTCATTTTCATTGACATTCGTTTGTTCATTTCATTCACCCCCTTCTGGACGTTGGCCAGGCTCCACCTGATAACAAGGTAATACTCGAGTATACCATACGTTCATCCAGAGTCACCATATCACCCGACCGAGTCCGCTTCTGATTCGAGTCAACAGGTAACAAAGGGCAAGGGCCCAGTTCAGCCAAACGGCTTACATTCATGCGCAACTAGCATTTAATCATTTAATTATTGAAAATTTCACATTTATTTAAGTCGAGTGTGATAAAGTACACACTCGCCTAGAAAACTCGTTTTTGGAAATCATTGAAAGCACTTAACACATTATCAAACAACAACAACATGCCATGAAATCAAGGAAAATATAACAAACAAGGAACACTCACCTATTTACGCAAAATAATATCCAAACTATCTTACCGGATAATACCGTCAGTCACCGATGAACCCTAATATAATCAAAAGAACACATTATGCTTCAACTATCAAAGATTTAAGTGATTCCAAGAAAATCCGAATACGTACTAGTACAAAATATAAATATGGTTTTGGTAGTGAAAAGAGTACATTGAAACCAAAAGACATAAGTAAACTATTTGTAAAACTTATGCTCACTTGTAAAACTTTAAAATCTCCTTTTCAATAGCCATTCCATAGGCTCAAAGTCATACAAGTACAAAATCAAGTTAGGAACATGTGTGGAAATGGAGTTTGTGTCAAGAAACAAAAGACAGATTTAACGTTGTTTTGCGTAACGGACACAACCAAAGCTACGCTTATCGGATTGAGGTGCAAACTATACCATTTCAAAGCTAAGACGGAGAATTATAACTTTGATGAAGACTACTTAGTCCAGTTCTCACCCTAACCAAGTCAAATTTACCAAAACAACTTCAGATTTTCCAGTTCGAAGCTCACCATGAAATTCAACTAGTAGTCCTGATTCATTCACTCATATCTCAGCACACACAACTCCAATTCAGGTAATTCCAAAGCTATTTGAAAGCTAAGATATAAGGCTATAATTCTTAAGAAAACATCAACAACCAATTCGGTAATATTCCTGGTCAAACTAACCACTTACAGAGGCTGATTATCATTTTTGACAGAAACAGGGCAGCAGGGGCAATTTTGTTATTTCACAAGATAACCTGCTCCGATTGAGCTGAAATTTTGTAGACAACTATAAAAAATCATTCTCTACAACTTTCATGTTTTAGGCTAAGCTAAATTCGGCCTCTAACATGGTGAACTGAAACCGGGCAGAACAGGGTACATACTAACTTCAATTCTGGAAATTTGCTACAATTAAGATATAAATCTCATTTTTAGCTTGAAACCATCACTACCACCTCTCATACCAACATGTATACATCATACACCATCCATATAACAAGTATGAGGAGGGTATCATTCAAACCCTAACTCAATTGCATCATTCCAATCATCCAAAATCACTTGATATAAGCATTATTATAACCACAAATACAAGCTACTAAGCAACTCCAACATGATTAAAGGACAAAGAAAAGTGTGAGCATCCATATTACCTCAAAACAAAGCTTGCTAGAGTTATCCTCCACTTCCCCTTGAAATTTTTGGTTCTTTAAGCTTCCCAAACTCCCAAACTAGTGATTAATCGGTTTAGTTTTTCTTGT